CATTGAACCTTATGGGAAACTTTACCTCGACTTGAGACCAACTCAAGTTGCAACCAGAGTCGCGGAACGGATTAAGTTCGTAACTAGAGGTACCACTGTACTTTTGAATACTAGAAGCGCTGAATCAAGGGCATAGTGACCCACAGTTACACATACTATTTCAGACAATTGGGGTTATGGGTTTTCATCTTGCAAAGTTCTGAACAGATGTTTGTTTAATGGGTGAAAATACTAAATAACTAAATCAAAAGGTGTGTTTTTTTAAATATATATCAAAAACATCATGTGCAAGACAGTTTCCTTTACTGTATATAGCCCCTGTCTTGGCTTTGTTGTATTCTGCAAAACACAAATATGTGTTAGATTAGGTGGGATAAGGCTGCACATATAAAGCAACTGGTTCTTTGACTCATTTTTGATACACAGAATTGTGGCAGCTCCTTCAGCATGGCTTGGCCAGGAAATAGGAAATATTTTGCATGATAACATTATATAAGCAGCATACTTCAAAACATGGGTTGGTCATGTGCTGTCTTGAACCAAATAATAGGAAATAACTGGACTATTCAGGGCAATAAGAAAATGAGGAGACATCACTAAGCCATAATAATGTTTGTTTGATCTGGGTGTAGCATTTTGTGTGCATCCAGCTATTATGGTGTTTGACAATCTTAAGACAATATGTGAAACCAGGTATTTGTACTTTTTTCCAACAAAACATAGTTGAACAAACCAAAGCTTAATCTAACATGTGAACATAGCTGGTGCCTATAGTGGATTGACCTTTATATACCTTAGATATAATTCCTGAACAAGGAATGGATGTTAAGGCAAGAATATTCCTAATTTTTTCTTTAGACGTTTCTGGTGGGAGCATAGAACATGCTGAAGATCTAAATTAGAAGTAATTCTTTTTTTTTTTATAAATTTTTTATTTTTTTACAACAAACACAAACAATAGCATAAAAAACATAACCATCTTCCATTTTAAACCGTGTGTCAGCCAGTTACCAATCATTTGTGAATTAGAAGTAATTCTTATAGCTGCTTCGGTCTTCAGGACTATGTCAAGAGTTGGGGAAAACTGTCCAACCCTCTGTGTTTGGCAAACATTTTCAAACTGTTTCATGCTTTCATCAAATTTGTAAGTTTCTCAAATCTCTGGAAAGAGATTTCCCTTTACTGTTCTGCTGCTGACCAATTATTGTGTCACCAAAAACATTTTTATGTGTGCATGTGTGTGTACACACACACACACACACACTTTGTTTAATAATAAT